CTTCCTAATAAAATAATTCGTGCAAGTTCCTCATGATACAAGAAAGTTACAATTTTTTGGGAAACGTGCAAGGAACTTTTGTTTCAACTTAATATAATCCGATCTGGGAAAACTCCTGAAGATTCGAATCCATCAGACAAAATATGTCATATACTGCAATGCTAATCTGAATGATGCATGGTGGGTATACGGTAGGGTCGGTTGCCACATCGCAGCAAACGAATGCAACCGTACTTTATTTTTCGATTTAGCAGTCGGCCTTTCCGTATGTGCACTGGTAATATATTAGAAAACTAGTATCTATGCTTATGACTAATATTTGAACTTTCAGTCCAACGGTGACGATTCTATGTCATATGTGAATCTGCAAGGAGTAGCGATCGGAAACGGTGAGATGAGTCAGATTCAACAGATCAACTCAGCTGTATCATTGCTGTACTTCCGTGGAGAGCATGGGAAAAGGTAAACTTGGACATGGCATTTGTTCTGCAATCATTTTTTGTGCAGCAAATCTCTTAACCCTTGAAATACAGTGACTACGATGCATTATCGCAGTGTTGTGACTCAAGTAAACCTCAAACCTACTGCGATTTTGTTTCTTACATAACGCTCGACTCAGCCGGCAATGCTTGGCCAAAGGTGCGTTCCAACAATAGATTTTGTAATTCTACACTTTACTGAAGTAATTTAGGTCAATGATAATTCCGTAGCTGGTCAGTGTGGAAAAATGGTCGTACAGCAGGGCTTCTTTGACGTTTGGGAGACAGCGTATGACCGTATCAAGCTATGTTCTAACTCCAAGTAGTTTTCTTTAGTAATGACGTATACAACACCTTCCAAGACTGTTACTCGACAGCTTCTGATGGCACCAGGGTCCGTCGGAAGAGAAGCGCTGATAAGCAGCCACTAGTGAACACTAAACCATTTGTGGATCAAGCTGTATGCTCGCTTTGACAACGCCAGACTTAAGTTCTGGGAAAAAAAGTTTTTCAGGGAAAGATCAATTATCAGTCTACGGATGCAAATGGTGGATTCGCTTGCTTCAATGGGGATGCTACTGAGGCTTACTTAAATCTGAAAGAAGTACGAGAAGCTATTCATATTCCAAGTGACGTTCAGTACTGGACCGATTGCAAGTGAGAAGCATTGCTATGTACATCGTATGTCTGAACAGTTAATCCGTAAATTCTTTTTTTGGGAAGAAGAGTTGATAAATGTATTTCACAAATTTATGGAGCGTGCATCAATCACGTCTTCTGAAAAAAAATTTCTTTTGGGAGTTTTCTTGAATTTTTCGGGGCATTCAATCCCGATATTTTGAAGAAAGGGACCTATCCTACGATCAGTTCGGCTGTGAGAGAATTGAAAAATCATCGGAGCCTAGGAGATCCTAGTGCCACGCCCCACTTTGCTCACTGCCATCCCCATTTTGCGCATCACGCTTGTTTTCTTGGCACCTAAGTTTCTAACATTTTGCTGCTAAAGAGCAACAACGGAAGAGCTATCTTATGATTTCTTTCATCTTTTCTGAACTAATGAGTGATAGTGCGCTATATTTTCCACAGAATTGGTCTCCTCCTCTTTGTTTATTCTTCATTTATTTCTCATTCTTAACTTACAAACGCTCCACAAAATAAAAATTCAGCGATGATATGAATGACCACTATATCCAAGAACATAACGATACAAGCGCTGTTTTCGATGAAATTTTGAAAAGCGGTTTGTTTAGCCTTCAAAATTCTGAACATGTTGCGTATTTTTCCTAAACAGGTTATCCTCTCCGATTCCTCATATATAATGGAGACGCAGACATGGCTTGTCAGTTTTTGGGAGACGAATGGTTTATCGAGCAATTGGCTGCTAATCATAAAATGACTTCGAATAAAAGAGGACCCTGGAACTACACGCAGGGAAGGTAAATGAGAGATTTTTTTATTTCACTGTACCAAGAGTGTTATTCTTTCAGCTTTTTGCCACGAATAGGAGGTTACGTAAAGTCTTTCCAGTACAATAGCAATGTGCAGTTTGACCTGCTGACTGTAAAAGTACGGTGTCCCATTGAATTTACGACACTTTTTTATGTCATACATTAGGGAGGTGGCCATTTTGTGCCAACGGATCGACCTGGCCCAGCCCTGCAGATGATCTACAATTTTGTGAATAAGCTTGATTATAGCACGAATCTGACTCTTCCAATAAATCGTCAACCACTTTTATCTCAATATGTGCCTACTATATTGACAAGTGGGTTTTTTCT